TCTTGCACTTGCATCTGCATATCTTGCATATTGATAGGTAGCAACTAAGGACTTGTCTGAACACGAACTGTAGACGAACTGTAGATGAACTGATGCAGTGAACTATTTTATAGTTTGGGTTGTGGGTGGTGGTGTTTGGTGATGGGTGGTGGTGTTTTTGGTGGTGGTGGGGATGCTACAAGTTCTCAGGTATTTCAGGTATATTTTAAGGGAGCAATAGAAAATTACCATTGCGTTTTGCGTTTTAAATTTCTTTATTAATGTTAAACTAATGTTACAGATTATTGTTATGGTTTTTGTGGCTTAATTTCCAACAAACAATATATAAGAGACATGGATGAAGTCTCTTTGAATACTCCGAATTCTTTTTTCAAATAAACAAAACCATCAAATCCGAATTCCGTGGGTACTCTTAATCATTAATATAAATAAAGCCGAATATGATGAACTTCAAAAACAAAAATCACCGGCTAAAAAGAGTAAATTTGTAGAAGAAAGGGCAAGCACAAGTCTTGGTCAACTAACAGAACAAACTTAAATGAAAGTGATTAAAAAGGATATGACTGTAAATATAATCGAAGAAACATTACAAAGTACATGAGTTGAACTAGTCACTAATTGTATTTTAAATAAAATTATATGAAAATTTGATATTTGACTCGATTTTCAATATTAATTTTAACTAATTTAAATTGTTTGTTTTTTTTTTCGATTTTAAATTTTAATTTCAACCGCAACCGAACCAAAATATTTAGACGAACTGAAACCGAATCTGGAACGATAAACATTTACGTGGAACGTAACCGTAAACCGGAACGAAATTAATTTTGGTTCGACTCTCTGATTGGAGCAGTCACATAAAAAATATAAATTATTTTTATACAATGACAATTATCGAACAAAAATATAATTTTCATAAGACAAGTGTTTTTAAGTGTTGTTCTTTAACGAAGAAGAATGGAAAAAATGTGAATTTCGAGGCTTCCAAGTTGAGCAATCTTTCAAAAGAAATTGATGTAAACTAAATAAGTATAAAGAAACTAACATATTATTGTAAATTGCTAAAATTTCCGAAATCGGAAATAATAATAAAATATTGTTGATAAGAAACTTTGATAAAATGTATACGTATTTTGAATTACTTAAGAAGATACAAGAAATTAGCGAATCTGTGTTATATATCGCGTTATCATTACTGTCAACTTCGCTGGGTGAACGCTGATTCCAATTTATTTGTGACAAACGAAAGGCATATTTTACATAATTTAAGGTATGACCAAGATTGAGTAACATACTAAACCCTCCAAGATAGAGTAACAAGTATACAAACTCTACAATACTTTAGAGAATGCCTTGATCAAACAATCACAATGAACTTGAGTCTAAAATCCAGAGAGGAACTGGAAGACGCAGTGGAAAAACTCTGTGAAAGAATGGCAACGTACCAAAGATCCATCTGACAAAACCCAAAGATATGAGTTAACTCCCTGTTCTTTTTGGAAAAAAAACATTATTCAAACTGCAAAGACATTTAAATGATTACTGAATTCATCATCCAATGAACGTACATTTACATAGAATCAATGTAATACTTGTGTTTTATGAAAAATAAAACGCTCGACGGATATATATTTATTTATGAAACGGCTCTAACTTTGCACTAGATAAATATATGATGGCGTTCTGCATTTTCAAATAAAGGACGATATGAATAACGGATTGCGTAATACGGCAAATTGGGATGAACGGGTCGCAGAAGAATGCGCTACTCCTTTGTGGATTCTGGTTGTGTCGTTGCTGCACAACAGGAGTACCTTAACGTGTATTTAGTATTGAGAGTATTAAGCAAATGCATTATTATTAATATTGTGTCCAATTGCGTTGTCGAGTTTATATATAAATACTAGGGATGCGACCCCCCAAATTAGCATTTAACTAGCTTACAATGTTCGGAATGGATTTCGATTCCGATGATTAATACCCTACTTATCATTATTATATAACGGTAATTATGTTTCATCAATCTTACTCATTTAAAGCGTAGCGTATTTTGATAACTTCCACGAACTTCCATTAAATTATCAATTAATAATTAACAAAAATAAGATTTGTGCTTCTTGCGGTTTCAGAGAAAAAATATAAATTAAACAATTAAAATTTTCTAACTACATTGTTGTAAATGTTTATTCTCATTCATTCGTTTAAATCTAGCAGAAAATTCAATATTCTGGTCTGTCTTGCATTAGATATTCTCTATACTTTTTTTTTGCTACATACACAATCTTGAGCACACTCTTCTGTATAAGCATATTGACTTTCAAATATATTTCCAGCTCGATCCAAGCTTTTCTGCATACGTATATAAAGTATGCCCAGTCATGACTACCCCTTTCTGCTAAAGGCATAGCCAAAGTATATAAATTATTCCATTTCTTCAATTTCAATAGATATATACTTTTACTCAGTTTATTTTTTTAACTAAATTACTATTTCTCGCATAATGACGAGAAAT